TTTACAGGTGCAATAATCGCTCTCCACTCTATACAAAAAAAAAAGTTCTGGCTTCAGTTGCACTTTTAATGTGAAAGGCTCCTGATGCTCAGCTGTCAAACTTTTGGAGGATGGCGTGCTTGAATCCTGGTGGCAATTCGCACATCAGTTCCCGTTATGTGCCCAGCTTGACCAAAAGTGGCGTGCAAATGACCCATGGAGCTTAGATATTAGGCTGGACAACTGGGGGTAAAAGATTCATCTTCTGAAAGTATTAAAACATTTTGGCCAGGCGTTTGTAAATGTGCTGAACTGACAGGTTTTATTTCATTTAATGTTTCCTAAACAAATTCCACAATTCTACAGTTTTCCTGGCAATAGGGTTGTGACATCCTGTCTGAAATTTGGCAGCCAGCAGATGTAAAAGTTATCTAAAAATTATTGTATCAGCAGAATGAGGGGTTGGAAATACTAGAACATCAGCAAAGGAGCAGCAGGTGCAGTAAAGGGTACGTTATGCAGACAATAACAGTCATATTTCATGAAAGTCGGCTCGTTCAGTAAGAAAAAAAAAAAGATCAATTCACTAATCTACAGTGTATCCAGTATATACAGTATATCAGTCTTCATTTACAACAACGACCCTCATCATCGGGAATGACAGCCAAAGAGAGCCTGTGCTTTTGAGCCATCTGACCCCTATGCCATTGCTGTGTTCTCTAGTGACATAAGGAGCAGATGATGGGATCAGAGTGTGTGGCGGGGGACACTGGTATCTGACACTTCCATAAGTATCAAATGCTGAAGAGCCTAATGGAGGCTGTGTGCCAAATGCTGAAGAGCCTGATGGAGGTTATGTGTCAAATGCTGAAGAGCCTGATGGAGGTTGCGTGTCAAATGCTGAAGAGCCTGATGGAGGCTGCGTGTCAAATGCTGAAGAGCCTGATGGAGGCTGCGTGCCAAATGCTGAAGAGCTTGATGGAGGTTGCATGCTCCATAGTATAAAGTAAAAAATAATATGGTGCATGCTGGTGGCCCAGCTCATTAGCCTAATGGCTACGGTGTTAGCCTCTGGAGCTGAAGAGTCCCATCTGTGTTGTTATGTGCATGCACTTCTGCCTTACATCCTGTTTATTTGGATGTCACAGTCCATCAGAATATTAACATGGTAATTCCCAACCTATCGGTTCTTCCCCTGAGCAGGCTTGGCCAGGGTACATAGTTGAGCATTATGGACATATTACTGATCCCAGTCTGACCACAAACAGCCATACTGGGCAACCATTCTGTGGTGGCTGTAGGCACTTGGACATGTCTTCCCAAAACACGGCAGCTGCTGTGAAGGCATCTACACTTATTGTGATGCTAATTAACGAGGGAACAAAAGAACAACTCAGAGCAGTTAGCTCGACTTCCACATACAACAGAGGTCAGAAAGGGGCCCAGTGGCCTAATGGATAAGGCGTCAGCCTCCGGAGCTGAAGATTGTGGGTTCAAGTCCCATCTGGGTCGCACTGTTTATGCTGTTCTGCCTTACAATGGAATCAATGCCAACAGCAGCAAGATCTTACACCCTGTTTATTTGGATGTTACAGTCTGTCAGAATGTTTCATTCTCTATGATATAAAATGAAAAAAAAATCCAACAGGGAGAGTGAGGGCCCCTTGCACTTGTCACAGAACGTGTGCAGGATCACTATACGGTAAACTTGTTCTTTTCCCATGCAAGATGATACAACAGGTTCACTTTAATATGGCCTTCACCAGCATCATATTGTAACCTCGTTCTCACACCCTCACTTCTCATTTATCCTCTAGAGGTGAGGCCCATGTAAGCTATGAGTCACCATATCATAGCTTAAACAGGGTTATGGCCCCTCCAATGACAGTGCTGATTGGCCTAGTACTGTCACATGCTCCTCCATACCTGGATGTACACAGTATTTCCTTTGGCTTCTGGCACTGAATGGAACAGCAAGGAAAGGAAGGCAAGATATGCTGTGGAGGTATTAAAACAAACTGACAAAGCACATGTTATTCCCTGAATGCTGAATGGCAGGTTTAAGTGAAGGTAAAGGGAAAACTTTTTTAATATTATAAATAGCATTTCTCTTTACTTCCTGATGCATCTCCGGGACAGGAATTGAAGGGGAATATTCCAAATGGGACAAAAATAGTGAAAAATAACATGACAGGGACTTTACGCATCCATGCTCTATAAAAAAAAACAGTTTTGGCAATACTCACACTTTAACTGGAATCTAACCCGATCGACCTTTGTGTATGTGTGTGACCACGTGATTGGCTCTCGGTATTCTGCAAACCGCTGCATAATATGGGTAATTAATAATGAGAGTATAGGCTCATAAACCGGTAATCACTAATAAATTATTTTATTGTTTATCCGATTAACCGATTAATCGAACGTAATAATCGGCTAACTAATCGATTTTGAAAATAATCGTTAGCTGCAGCTCTAAACCTCTTACCACTTAATTCCAGAGATCTCCTTAATGGATAAAAGTCCTGAACGCTGCAGATAAATTATAATCGCCAAGTGACTTTTTCATTAACGTTGAATTCATTTCTGAAAGATCATTAGCATTTTAAATGAAAAAGATTTGTTTCTTGACGCCATATGCAATGTCACTCTTCCCTTAGAGCTCCATTCGCTTGAGTCTGACCATTCCGTTATGAACACAGTATGGATGACGTGTCTCCACTGGCGGTAGAGATGTCCTCTGGCCAGGACTGCTTAGTGGGAAGGCAATGTGGCTGCCTGGGTATGAAGATCCGGAGTGTTGAAAGTCCTCTGACAATCTCCTCCCCTCACTGCTCATGCTGTATGCCAGTCACGCTGCCTTCAGGGGACACCAAGCATGCCACCCTTCTGTATGCCAGTCACACTGCCTCCAGAGGGCAACAAGCATGCCACCAGCCTGTGTGCCAGTCACACTGCCTTCAGAGGGCACCAAGCATGCCACCAGAAACTTCTAACAAGGAATGAAATTGCCAGAGGAACTTGATTTTAAATCTTAGCATCAGAGTTGCATAGGTAATGGTACTTTTAGGTCCAAACCAACCTTTTGCAATGTACCGTAGTTTGTTGCAATCACTTGTGCCTTAACGCACGTTACCACAACGCACATTACAGACATTAGTGAGATGCATTTTGAAGGCAACACAGCTCTGATACACTTGCGTTGCAGCACACCACAATGCACAGTTATGCAGTACAATGTGAATGGGACTTTTAACGTAGGACTTCATCTATCAACCTTCACCCAAAACTAAATGAAATGCTTTGGATTGAGGTCTTTTTTAACTCTTCTTCTTCTCCTTCGTCTCTTCTGAGGATAAAAACAAGGTTGTATATGTTAGCCAAGGGTTAAGTGAATGGGGCAAAATAAAAGGCATACTGTAAAGAAGACCACAGCAGCAGACTATACTTACTAGGGATGCACCGATACCGATACTAGTATCGGTGCAGATACCGAGCATTGGGGCGAGTACTCGTACTCAGCCAAATGCTCCTGATGCCTATCTCGATACCGGAACTTCCAGTATCAGGAAGTTGGGCGGTGAATCATTAAACGCCACCCAGCTTCCTGATTTACCAAGAAGCCATTCCATGCTCCCTCGTCACTTGGTGATGAGGGAGCATGAAGCTGGCTTCCCAGAGTCAGGAAGCTGGGTGTCGTGTAATGACTCACCTGATTGGTCGGAGGATGGCCCAATCAGGAAGCCAGGCGGCAAGTCATTACCCGACCCCAGGCTTCCTGATTGGCCAGAAAGCTGGCTCCATCCTTCCAGGTCACCTGGTGACAAGGTAGCATGGAGCTGGCTTCCCGGGCAATCAAGAAGCTGGGCAGCATGTAATGACTGGCTTCCCGATTGGCTAATTTGAAAATACATTCTACTTATAGAGGGAAATTTAACAAGAACATTCATTTTGTGCATCCATTCGCACAAAACATTCACAAAGATTCACAGGGCCAATGGTTCTGCAAATTGTTTATAAACAGGCCCCTAAGTGAAAGCAAATTGCAGATGCTCCAGCTCTCCAACACAAATCCAAAGTGTTTTGCCGAAGTACTATAAATGGCTCGGTTCTTTTTTTAAGTAAAAGCGATCCAGTTTCACCTCCCGGGTTAGGAGCGGGAGCCGCGTGTAATAAGCTTCTTTACTCTATTCAAGAGATTTATGAAATAACCTTCCACAGAGGTTCCTTTAAATAACTAGGAATGAGCCAACCTCACTTTTCCATCCCTCCTGCTAGCCGTCCCTCCAGCTCCCAGCACTGCTACAAACAGTGTGTCATGAACTGTCGGGGGTCCTCGGGGACCCCTGCCAAGCCTCACTTTCACCATAACTACCCAGGCTCCTTTCAAGTTTCCCCCTGTGGCCTATTATCAAGTGTTTACCGCCTGTGTGCTTCATCTGCGACGCTGCAAGTGATCTCTTCATTAATACCGTTACGTGACTTCTATCCCTGGACCAGATTGCTGAGCCTTGACGAAGCAAAGTAATCTTTGCCGTTGCCTGTAAGACGATGCAGCGATAGACCGGTACCCCTATCCGCTGCCCTGTTTAACGAGCCATCCCCTCAACAATACTTTTGCCATTTATTTTTACCGCTCGGAAATATTTCATTGCACCCCCACAGGTCAAATTAAATTGCACGTCACTGTCTTCCGAACACTAAATGCCATTCCAACTTGTATGATGTCATCGCTTCCTGGCGGGACCGGTGGAAGGATCGAAATTTTGGCTTTAAAGAAATTAACTTTTTGATCTTTTTGTTTATTTTTTTCCTCGGTTTCTTTTTTTGGAAACGGCTTACGTTTTAATTAAACAACGTTGCTTCTGCTACTGTGGCTTACCAGATTGCTCTAAGCCGCTTGCGAGGGGGACCTGGATGCTCCGGGCTCAGCCGTTAGAATCGTTGGCCAGACTTCAAGCAGCAGTTGGACTCTGCCCAGGAAGCCGGCTGAAAGACAAGTTTGTTTAATTGACCCTAGCTTTTTTTTTTTTTTTCCTGTTTCTTTTTTTTTTTTTCGCCGTGCGTGGAATAAAGCTGCTGGATCGTTTTTGTCTGCCTAAACCAGCTGTGCTTGCGACGGGGACGGGTCCGTTGAATGAGAGTCTGGTGAACCATGGCTTCGGTGTTTATGTGCGGGGTGGAAGACATGCTGTGCAACGGGAGCCGCTTTGTGTGGAACTTGACTGCGTCTACGATGAGGAGGTGGTACACGCACAGGGCCAGGGCATGCCAGCTGGTGCTGAGGACTTGGTGTGGCCTCAGGGAGGTCTATCAGGTAAACGGGATTAAAAGGGAGGAAAAAAAGTTAACTTTCAGTTGTCAGCTCTTAAAGAAGAACTCTGCCTAAAGAGTTCCATCACTTCCAATGTGTGCGTGCTCTGAACACTTACTACAGCTCAATTGCTGTGCATTTTCGGCGAGTGCATCTTGGACTTGGTGTAGCTGATCAGGTATAACTTATTATAGGTCTGTAATCACTAATATATAATTAAATGTATTTTTTTTTTATACAAGCAGTGTAGATACCTAGATTTGGCATTATATCAGCCTCTTGTAGTTTACTGCACAGCAGAGCTCACACAGGAGGAGGGAGAAGCAGCACAAGCAACCAGGGGCATCCTTAGACGTCTCGCTGCCTGAGGCCGG